ATCCTCGCAGCCAAGAACACTACTAAACTTCTAGTTGAAAAGCAGTTTTTTTCAGGTCCTATTTTCAATTACTAGTTCAGTAGTGTTCTTAGCTGCGAGGATCTCTTAATTTCGTTTCGTCACCGCAGTGCAAATATATGAATTTCTCATATCTAAAATCATCATACATCTGTGTATTTTTCTGTTTACGTCTATTAGGTTTTTCCTCCATAGTTATACGAATGTGAAATGATTCTATGTAAACAACGCAAGAAGTTATTATACCATTGCCTAATCCTAGACTACATTTGTATCTTACCATTCTCTCCGCTTATGGCTTATGTTTCATTCACAAATCCTCAATTTGAAAACGGCTAAACCAGCTAACCGGTCCATTAGTTCTCACGACAACCTTTCGTAGCGTAGTTCAATGGAAAATAGATTGTTCAAATAGATTGGAATCACTTCCGTCATGAACAATGTTGGGCTTGACAGAAATGAAGTGCGATGATCGCAAGGCGTGATGGAGTTGTGGCATATTGTCATCACGGAGACCACAACGTCCATGCTCAGAGTGATTTTGAATTCACAGTACTAATTCTGGTTTATTTTTATGTACTGGGAAAAGTTCCGCAACTACGGATAAAGAATAGGGTCCAAGTAGTGGCTTTGTAAAGGTGTCTGCATAGTTCTGTCATCACCGCCTCAGTGGGATCATTTACTAGCACGGTCCTCAAAAGTACCTCCATCATCCATTACAAAACTACTGTGGGCTCCGGTGAATACGTGGATCGGGAGTACTGACTAATTTCCGACTAAATTTATGTGACTTTCGCTTTCACCGTTTTATTGATCAGCTCTTCTGCACTGCAAGGAAACATTAATAGAAGTTAAGGATGGAAAAGGATACATCAGATGTTGTTTGCTTTATGAACCGTTAAGCATCTTTGCTTGATTGAACCTGATGGTGACATAGTGGTATATTCTATCCCCTCAACGCTGAAATACCCTCTTATAACTAGAACTATTACCTCACAATTGTTCCTGTTGCAACAGCATAATTTGGCAAAACATCCTAAATTTCTGCTTTAACCACCAGGAACTCACAAACGTCCTGATTACTCCCATTTTAGATACTGAATAACAAATTGCTTATCAGGATCCCTTCCTGTGATTTAATAAATTCATGTTTAATGGTTGAGGGAGGTGGAGGGGAAAGATGCAGAGCCTGTCTTAAATCTTGCATAATCCAGTTAAGATGGTTTTTTGTTTTGTGATCTTTGCCGCCTTATGGTGCTCAAATTCGAATCCCTAAACTCGAACTAGGAAACGAAGAAAATTTTCCGTAAATTTTGGTTTAAAACACTTAAGTGTATCTCAATTATATCCCACGCAGATACCTTCTCGAGTCTTAGCTTGAGAAGGGTATAAACACTGAGTATACCAGGAATTTATGGGGTAACCGACAGTGCACCACACTATTCTTTATTCCTTTAAAACCAAGATAACTTCTTCACTGTGGACATTACATTTGTAATTGATATATACAGATCTGCTATTAGGCCAATTAAGTACAGAAATGAGTTACCTCCTAAATCGATTGGTGTTGTTCAATTGGTGTTATAAAATAATTCAAATTCACTCGATAAGCTGGAAACCACTCCGCTTCGCGTCGTGGTTTTCTACGCTTATCTCGTGTCCTCCCAACCTCCCGCGTGTTTACATCAGGCTATGTAAACACGGAAACCATTTTACATTTCTTCATTGTTGAATAGAGAAAGGTTATCTGCAATTTCTGTCTTTCATTTGCAAGGGTTTCCATCATTCCAAATACTATCCAAAAGGCATTGCATAGAAAACAACATCATTGAATTAAAATGTTAGCAAAATATTATGTGCCTTTGGAGGGGGACATAGGAAGTTCTAAACTAGTGTCATTTGATGTGAAATCGCTTTTTACAAGTATTCCACTTCAACTGGCACTACAATGTACTGAGACTGCTATCCTAAAATCTACAGACCCTCTACCGCTACCGACAGAGGACATTATGGAGTTACTAAACCTTTGCCTGACATCAACTTACTTTCAGTTCAACGGCAAACACTACAAACAGTTACACGTTACAGCTATGGGGTCTCCAGTTTCTGTTGTTGTAGCAGAAATTGTTATGCAGAACGTCGAGGAAAGCGCCCTTTCGACTTGCCGACAGACGATACCACTCTGGTTACGCTACGTTGACGATACTTTCACTGCCGTACGACACGACGAAATCGACGCATTCCACCACCACCTTAACGAACAGAACACTGACATACAGTTTACTAGAGAGGTCGAAGAAAATGGTAAACTACCTTTTCTAGACTGCTTGGTGAGCCGTGGCGACAATTCACTACAGACAACAGTTTACAGGAAACCGACACATACCGAAAGATTACTGGACGAGTCATCCTACAACCCGACATCACACAAAGCCACTACTATCAGGACTCTTACCCGACGAGCGCAATTAGTATGTAATACGACAGACAGCTTATCCGACGAGAACAAGTACCTTAACCGTGTTTTTTCAAAGAACAACTACAACGAAGACTTCATCCAACGTAACACTCACAGACCTACTACTACTACCGAAGCTAACGACAACGCATCTCCTACGACCACAGCCACTATGCCATACATCAAGGGCATATCTGAGACCATCTCACGCATCCTACAACCATTCAATATCCGCGTCGCTCACAAACCTATTAACACACTACGTCAGTTACTGACTAATATCAAAGACAGAGACGAACCGAGGAACAGACAAGGAGCAGTATATAAGATCAATTGCTCTGACTGCCACGCCTCCTACATCGGTGAGACTGGCAGAAACCTCGCAACTAGACTGACCGAACACAAACCAGCGACGAGGAAAGGCGATGTCAACGATCACATTGCTGAACATCACCGACTTACGAACCACACTATTGACTGGGACTCTGTGCAATGCCTAACCTACAGCACAAACTACTTTCAACGACTGACCCTGGAGAGTTGGTTCACTAACTTGGAACAGGCTCCCCTCAACAGGTGTCAACCACTACCGGCACCATATAAACGACTCATCCACGACATTAACATTACAAACGAACCGAACAGAACGACATAACTTCACTAACGGATCCAAACCAACCAATCACGACTGACCTACGCCACTTGAGTCTTACAGCCAATAACATCACGGCAAAACTGACCAATCAGTGTACACAAACCGGACTAAGTACATTCGACTGACAAAAACCTTTCACTTGACTCTGATGATGACTTCCGCTCAGGTTGTCGAAACGTCAGTCACCCCTACCGACAACAGTCCTTCTCAGGACTACACTCACCCAGACGATCAAACTACACTTTATCACCATTGTTGTTTTGTTCTGTTTTATTTTTAAACACGAAACTATATATACTATACGAGTATAAGCTGTGTTTGATTTTTATTACTGTACGTAAGCTTACAATCCAACAGAGTGTGAAACCTTCAATACTCGGACTGTCCATTTCGTTTTGTGTTTGAGGATTTTCGTCCCCACTCACGTTGTAATAACACCAATCACTGCGCTTGACATGCTTGCAAACTGTTATTTGGTTTTTCTGTTGTTCCGAAATCTAACTTTCAATTAACGAAAAAAAGCTTGAGGGAAGTCCGGTAAAAAAAACGCAAAGCAATTACTCGATACTTCATTGTTTCTTTCTTAATAAAGAAAGAAACAATAGCATGAAAAATAGATGTTACTGTTGTCTTAGCGTTTCAAAAATTCAAAGAATCAAATTCGTGCTGTGTTTTTTATGACGGAAAACCAAATCAGTCTTCGATAGCCAAAAGTTTCCCTAGATGTTTCTCGGTTGCAGATACCTTATGTTCGTTGATGCGTGGGTATGTGTAAATGTCGTTTTGTGGCTGGATAAAATCTGCGTGGGTCATATTACACTTGAGTGATACTTTGTTTTGTATTCCTTATGAACAGAAGCATATAGGTTTTACCTTTCTATTACAAACGAAAGGGAGCTCTTTTTCTTTCGAGACGAAGATTTGACCAACATTCTCGGTCTGACCTCTTTCTTTATTCAAAGACCGAAATCGAACCTTTTCTTATTCTACCTAACAGCCAAAAAGATAATAGCAACGATCATGATGATTACATTGATGACAGTAAGCCAATGATACTGCTTGAAATATTCATATCAAAATTACTACATGTAACTGAAAACAGTGAAGGCAACAGTCCCTGCCGCATTCTCCAGGTTCATTTTTGTTCATTTGACAAATAAAACCTCTCAAAAGCTGAAAATATTCATAAAGCGTTACTGGTAGCTTTTCCAAAACATAATTGATATTTCATGTAGAACTATATAATAAATAAAAAAGGGTAAATCACTTGGTATAACTGATTAAAGGATACTGTCTTCTTAACTAGTGTCAATAATGACCAGTATAATTCAAATTTAGATGGTAGAAACGGAAGTTAGCAGATCAACGGTTCGGTTCAAAACTTGATTTTCTGATTTTCAAACCTTCTCATTGCATTTATTCCTATAACTTAATCAAAATCCATTTCTACAATCATACATTTGTATGGCTGTTTCCTTTTAAATCTTTCCGACTTTTGAAGATAAGAGAAATTCCTTTTTCGAATAAAGGCACTGACGAGTATAAAAAAACTCTCTACGAATTTTTAGACTACATAACCAGTGTTCAAATCTGAAGCATGTACAGTGAAACCAGTTTAAAAAGCGCCAGCAAAAGGGTCCTAGCTAGGGTCCCAATCGATCATGAAAGGGTGGCAGATGTATCTAATTACATATCACTAGCTACCTATTCAACTTCTTTGAGCCTCTATCTTTCTAGGACGTATCTAGTTGTAACATCTCACTCAAAGAGAAATAAACTCTTAACGACCAAAACAAAACACCAATCACTAAGCCATACGTGTCGTTTGATCATGGAACGATCAGAATGCAGGGGTAAAATTAGGCCTTCCTACAACAAATCCGCGAGTAAGGGGAACTCACATTCCACTAGCACGTCGTAGAGTTTCCCCACACGTAAGCCACTGCAGCTTAGAATAAGCTCAACAGGGTTTTTAAAACGATTGTCAAAACAACGAATGTATGCATCTTCAAATCCCAGTTGGTCAGCAACGATCTTCCACTCTTCGCCTCCTGAAAAGGGAGATACATAATATATACAAGTGTAGTACCCATATACAAAAGAACAAAATCTTTGTTTGTTTCATAACTTAAGTACGGTATTTATAAGTATGAGTATACTAGAACGGAAATAACATTTGAAGCTTTTCAGAGGAAAGGTAAGAGTGATTCAAGTAAAACAATCATTATTAGTGCAAAGGAATGAAAGAAAACTTGCGCATTGCCAATAAAGTCCTCAAACAAACTTCCTGCTTGAAATTCCGATATTAAGGAAAATATGAGGCACAATAAAAGTCATGCCACTTTAAACTTTTCAAGGGTAGTACAGGAACGAGTTAAAGCCAGATTTTGACGCTAACGGAACAGCAAAGCCGATGTTTTTAAAATGTATTATAACATGGCTAGTTAATTTGTCTAATCAAATTCAATTGCGCGAGCGTGCTTCATATTCCTATTGTGCACGCTCATGACGTCAGCAAACAAATCCCTAAAAAAAAAGATTTTCCATCGGGTTGAAAATGCTATACAACAATTGGTTCATCAAGAAGCTAGAGTTGCTCTCGGCTACGCCTCGAGCAACTCTTACGCATCTTTCGTGCTCTCCAAACTTCCCAAGTGCTTCATATCTCGATGAACGTACGCTGACGTATGAACCAATTGTTAATTAGCCCCAAGTCTTTAATAAGTCCCTTTGCTAGGACGAAATAACTTACGACAGGCTTGCTAAACTTACACCCTTGCTAAAAGTCATGTTCTGGAAAAGCATGCTGTTTAAAAATTTACCCTCCCCACCCAGAAAGTGTTCTGTTAGTTTTTCCTTACGTACCAAAATCAGTTACACAGATAAACCAATCTAAGAGCGATTCATCAAAAAAAGGAACTCCAACTGAATATCAAAAATCAAATATAACCGTGACCGAGGCATCATTAGTTCTGCAAGGTAAATTTGGCGGATTTCTATTTTAATGGACCGTTGATCAGAAACAGTTCATTTCGCTCTCTGACACTCTGTCTCTTTCATCCAAAAATTCAGCCCCAAGTACACGCTCTTAAATACCCTATCGGTATGCGTGTTTGGGCTTGCGGCACAACTGACCTTGGCAGAGAACACATATTTTTAGAACGCTAACCAAAAGAATCTCATAAAACATTCGAAATGAACAAAAAACTACTAGAAAAACAAATAATCTTCAAGAAATAAGACCTAAACCAAACTTCCCGTCGAGGACTCTTGGAAAGGTCAAAGAAAAACTCATAACTCATAAAGGTGAGGTCCTGCAGCACATAACAAACAAAGGCTCACAAGACTCGCATAAGGATTTCAAGATAATCTGAAAGGCCTAAACAATTCTCCAAACATTTTCCCAGAACATTCATAATTTTAGTAGTTCACAAACACTTCTAATTTTAGTAGTTAATAACAATATTCTCTTAGAATGGTAATGGTAAGAAGCTGATAAGAACCCACAGATTACGTTATTTCTATCCGCTACAGCAAATGCCCGTGGTACAAGCGACTTACACCAAAAAAGTGCAAAATAATTTTTAAAAAACTGCTCTCCAACTCACCACACAAACGAACAGCTAAGTCAGTCCTCCGTCTCCATGGAATTTTCATAACACTGCGGCTTTCTTCGAGCCGAGGGCCTAGAAGTAAAAAGGAACTATAGTGTCTTTTACATTCAGTCAATTTTGACACTTTAATTGCAACTGTGTGTAGAATTATATAGGTCGAGAAGAGGATATTTTGAAAAACTATATGAAAAACCCGGCATTGTTTGCATTACAGAAAGAATATCTTAACAGATCTCAGTTTGAAAGTAGTAACGTTAGAGGATCCTATGTCAGTATGACAGATCAATGATTATTGAAGAGCAGCCTAAGATTTTGTTTTAACCGTTAAAAGGAAACGAAACGAAACAAAACGAAACGAAAGTAGTTTAGTATAATCAAATGTTTCTTTTTAAATGACAGAGCTAATCACGAACAAAGGGGCGGCGAAGGAAGATACATCAAATATCGTCCTTATCTAGACGATGTTCAATGTTCTGTGAGAGATACGGTGTGCTAAGGGTCCACGCTCTGTAATCTGGATCGAGTGGTCCGGGCTCGAGCCCTACTCGGTTTGTCATGTTGAGAAGGACAATTTCTCCCAATGGGACTCTCTCCCTCGCCTAAGTATTAATTGGTACCAGCGAACTGCCGAGGGAACCATATCCAAGATGATGGGGGGAGGGGGATACCCGCAATGAATCAGCAGCCCATCCACGATAAGTAGTAACAATATTTATCCTAGTTGCTCTACACCACAGAATTTAGCGAAAAGCTCTGGTAATTATGAACCACTAAGGCGGAATGGACATTTTTACCTGTTGTGCCCGCTGGCGCATTTTCTCTCAAGAAATTAACCACATCAGTTCTATCATAATACTTAGCATCCCTCATAAGACAACGGATCCATTTTCTATCGTCAGGAGCTGGATCTTTCAGTGATGAAAGATTCAGCAGTTTACAGACAACATCTTTTGCAAGGACTGATTCGGACTTGAGAGACTGGGAAACATCGTCAGGTAGCGCTAGAGACTTTTCACCATACCCTAAAATGTGCAAATGTACTTCCGATTACTCATTATTCTGCAAGGAAAAACATGTTTATAATTCTTTCGATGACAAAAGTCTGGTAAGAATACCCTTAACGATAGGCAATACCAACAGGCAAGAAAGAGCATTTTTCTTCATACAAACTTAGGAAAAAACAACCATATCATACTAGGCAATTTACAGCCAACTAACCCTTTGAAACAGGAACAAGTGTCCCTTTGCTCTCATTAACAGCATCCTTAAGTTGCTTAAATTCTCCTTCAAACTGTTCAGCTACGAGAGGCTGGACTTGATAATATCCTGGGTTCCCTGCTAGGTTAGAAAAGGATGCATTCAAGCCCCTTGTAAATAAACAAATGATGAAATACGAAAAATGAACAACAACATGAAATGAGCAAATGTATAACAAGCAAAAAGGAAGAAACTGACCTTGTGCAAATGGAGCTAGCAACATGTCACTTTCACCGCCTACACTTGGTCGTTGTAGCTGAAGTGTTGCTACAGCTTCGCTTAGCAACACAGGTGATTTCCTCTGATATCCATCTGAGTTACCTATTTCAAAGAAAAAAAATTAATTGCACGATAGGAATCGTTTATGGTAAGCTTAAAAATACGAACTACAGAATACCAGTTGAAAGAAACGTTTCTCATAGCTACAAAAAAAGACTGACACTAAGTGTGTATATGAGAGATCAAAGTGGTGACTAACCTTTCCCAAGTTGGGGCCCCTCTCCATGTTGATGAGTCGCCATCTGCTGTTGATAAAAAAAAATGGTAGCCAACGTGGCCTCTTATGGGCAAATTATTAAGCGTTGGGAACGAATGAAAATGAAAAGTTGCCCAAACAGTGAGTGGTGTATCTGAGGGGAGATAAATAAATTATTTCCCATAGGATATACCTGATCAAACCTTATACATTTCCTTTCTTGGTAATTCCGACGGAAAATGGGGTTTGAAGTCTTACTCCGTAAAAAGGGCAGTCACAATGTGACCTGATCTCAAATAACCTTCAAATAACACTCTGGCAAATCTCCTTGGCACTAAAGGTAATCAAAATGCTCTGTGAGCAAACTCGTGAATTGACACATGATTTTTAGGATTATGTTTAATGTTATCTGGTTTAGGGAATTTTGTGGTTGATTGTCATATCTAGAGTACGAGCAGTAGTTCAGTGTTCGCTAATGTAGCAAAGAAACAAAGTAACGTTGGGATAAGAAGGCATAACAATTGAAATGATCATTCTATTACTTTTAACAAGGGTGGATGATGTCATGTGTTTTAAACGTATATCATTTTTGTTTCTGGTTCAAAAGAAAAGGTTGGAAGTAAATGTGGGTAAAAAGTGAAATTTACTGTCTATCATTGTAAATATTAGAAAATCAAGGCAATACTGACCGAATGAAAACATTAACGATTCCCTCTTTATCAAATGGGACAAACGGGAACGAGTTTTGAGTGATATAACTAAGCCAAGAGTGCCACCGTCATTTTGGATCTCCGCCTGGGTAGATTTTAGTCACGTGCTAGGCAACGTGTAATCAAGATAGAATTTCATTTCAGGCCTATTTATCAGCTTTGTGGTGTATAACTTTCGCATTTTAGCACGTAATATGTATTTTGAATCTTCAAATTGTCCTGAAACTTAGAAGAAAATTGTTCTTAAAAAAATTCACTGAAAATCGGTAGCTAAAATTGTTTGTTTAGGTGTTATTTGATTTTCGTGTTAACTTGTAATTTCATCAGTCGCCAGCATCTTCTGTTGCTTCACACAGGAAAAACTCACGATATGTAACGTAATGATCGATTTTGTCCTCAATCTCACGCCATAACAGAAAAAGCTTTTGAACATCTGTAAACTCCGAGCGCTTTGCAGTAAGTGATATTTTCAATGAATCGGATTGTTTTCAAGTTCAAGGATTGTAAATTACAATTTTATGAAAAACGAATGTTGTTCTGTTATTTCAGTGTGAATCCTTACATGCCTGCCAATCGCTGGCGCCGCTTGTTGAAACTAAAACGAAAAAAAAAAAACTCTTTTAAGATTATCATTGGCTTCTTTTTCACCCCACCACTATTCTTAGCAACAAAGGTCGCCATTTCGTTTGTTTATTGCTCGCCAAAAACTATCAAATGCACTCAAAAGCCTAAAATCGAAAAAAAGTTTACAAGAATCGACCAATCGAGCAAGCGAGCGAGCGAGCGAGTGCCATTCCTCACATCGTATCTACAACTCGCTCTTGCGCATGCGCGCAATTCACGAGTTAAAAAGGGCGTCGAGAAACACTTTCAATTATTCAAAAAAAATTATACAAGTCTTGATCTCATTGTATTCACACGCAAAACTATTATAATGAAATCATATAAAATTAACGATTATGGCAATGCTAAGGAGGATATTTTGACATCTCTTGCTGTTTTTGGCAATCTAATTTGTAATCAAATATATATTTTAGGAGGAAAGTAAATCACGTACAATTCAAGCGAAAATGTACCTGTTTGTTTTTGTAAATTATTGTTGACGTATTACCATACACGATCAGCTCTTTCTTTGCCCGTGTTCAGAATCGTTGAGAATTTTACAACGCTTGACAGGAACCATTTTTGCCGCCCTAACGTACTTGCTAACCGAGTATGTTACTTATTCATGACAGGAAAAAAACATTTTTCTTACCTTTTCCTTACCAGGGAAAATCCAAGGAGCAAACTGTTCGGCATGAATCCTGTTATCCAAAGCGGTTACAGAATTGGTACACACGGCCTGTTTTTCATCGCCTAAATCTGACTCTGAAATGAAGTGAAGGCATTCCTCTTGCTCACAACTTTCTTCGTTATGTTGTTTGCACAACCTGGCCACACGTCCATAGGAACAAACAGGACAAAGGTAACTCACTTTGTATCCAACTTTCTTCACCCAGAAGAATTTTTTCCATACCCGATCAATGATAGAGGTTAGCTGACTGCGAAAAGCTCGAATTGAGTCCACATCGACCACATCAATAGCACTCTTTACACCGAGGACAACGACTTCAATTGTGGAAGAGTGGCAAAGGAGAACAAGGGAGAGGCCTTGATTCGGAAAGATGTAAAATCTGGCAAAATTGGTATAGGTTTGGGGCAGATCTACGTCGGGAAATTCCTCTTTACACCACTGAAAAAATTCCAGCATAAATCGGGGAAATAAGCCAGCCGGGACCCGACCTGTAACAAATTTGAGAAACAGAGAGGGGAGTTTGGCGGAGTCTACTAGATCACTAATCTGCTTTGGTGGAAGCGTTCGCAACATAGATGGCACCAAATAACGTTTGTTGCACAAGTCATCTGATGATGGCCATAGACACATCAAGCTGAATTTTTCCATGATCGCAATAAGACTTTTGTGGGTTTCGTCTAGAGGAACCAAAGAGTTCCAAACATGTTTGAGAAGTTTTTCTTCCACGATTCCTTCTTTCTCGAGTGTTTCCCACAGAGGAGCAAAGTCTTTCTCTTCGTGATAGGCCCTGACAGTTATCACATTCTTGAATACGTCAATCAACCACTGAATATCCAAGTAAACGAAATCACTTAATTCTCCAGGGTCGTCAAAGTGAATCAAAAATCGCAGATCGTGCAGAAAGGTGAGCACTGTCTGTACCTCGTTGTCGTTAATGTTACAAAATTTGGAAGCTATTTTTTTCGCTGTCGAGAGAGGGATAAACTTGTGATCCTTTTCCTTAAGGACGCGAAGAACATTTTCGTATCTTAACCACTTGATTGGAATAGCCTCAGTTACGTGTGGTAACTCTTTCGAAACGACATGTACCTCCTCTCGTAAGCGTACGGTTTCTTTACATTCGGATTCAGTGCCTGACTTCGTGTTATCAACACAAAACACGTCTCGCAAGTGGGCACCATATGGCTTGCTCTTTAAGTCGCCAAATATTTCATCGGCTAGTTTAAATGGATCACGATCGCAATAGGGCTGATCAGCATGTGTGCACACCAGGTAAACTGCAGGAAATTTCTTCAATGGCACCGACTTTTCAGGGTCCACTTGTTGGCAGTCACTTACTAAGGAAGCCAAAGAACTCATCCAAAAGTCTAAGTAGTCGAAATTCGTTTTCAGATTGTATTTATCTGCAATGAACTCTTTGTATACTCCTTGTTTCACCAATGATGTGGCTTTGTCGTTTGGATTTCTACTTAAGTCATAGACCAAAAAGTAGATTGCTCTTCTTGTGAGAAAGAGGAGGTGTGTCACGTAATACACTGACTGTCCAGCAAAGTCCCACAGTATGGAATAGATGTCTTCCTTATCATCGTCCCAATTCTCTTGAAGAAACTGGGAAAGCAGCTTTGCAACATCGTCGAAATCGGGCAATTTTTCCAGCGTGGTGGTAAGCAAATCTTCTTCTGGTTCTAATTCTGTAGGGTTTCGTACTTCTCTCGTTGATAAATTAGGTTCATCCTCGGTGGTATTGGTTGATGCTGGATTTACGGATGATTCTAAAAGGGTCGGGTCACTTAAAGTCTCATAGGGTTCCCTTTCCTTTGTGTTGCCAATTTCTTCAAAATCATAGCCAGTTGTCTCGGCTGAACTTACTCGTTTTTCTTTAGCAATTTTTTCAAGTGTCGTCAATTTGTCTGCAATCCACCGTGCTGCATTATGCTCAAATGAAGTAACAGTGCTACCAATGTTGGCCTCCTCGTCTTTTTCTCCTGTCTTCCATATTTCGGTGGTTACTTTAAAATCATAGCGATCGACCTCAATTCCCCGGGTGCTATCTTCATCAGGGTTGAAGCAAATCCCTTTCAAGGACTTCTTCACGCTGGTTTTACCAGACCGATCTTGTCCAACTATCATTAGAGGCACTCTCTTGACACAAGCTTGACCTTCGGCCAGTGCATTGTTGTAGGCTTCTAAAGCTTGAGGACCACGAGCACGAATCTCTGGAGGAACTGTACATGGGACAATCGAGAAACGCTCATTAATAAATCTCAACAATCAAGATCGAATTAAAAGTGAATCAAACAAACAAGAAATAGGTAACGTAAGCAAACAAAACCAAAAAATCAATTCATCAATCAAGTTCTATTTTTAATGCAAACACGGTATATCTCCTCTGATACATTAGATCGATCAGGTAATGGGGAGAAACGAGTGTCCTCAATGGCGTGAGATTAAAAGCTTATAAACTTGCAATTATTCAATGCATCGAAAAGATGACCGAGCTCAGTAACCCAACCTCTAATCCCAATAGAAATCACATTTCTACTCATGCCTGTGAAAGGGCTAATAAACCCTCAGGTAACATTGCGCATAATTTCAGTGAATGTCCTCTGAGATAACTCCATGTTTCTTCTGTACATGTGTAGGATCGATCTCGAAAAAAGAACTACTTTTACTTGCATTTGGGAAAAAGGGTGGCGGTCTGATTTTAACTCATACTTCAACTTCTCTTTTCTTCTCTTTTTCACATTTTATTTAATTCCATAAATACATATCGGGATATGTGTTTACGTATGGGAACAGCAGCACCTTGTTCACAAGCAATCATTTGATATGATATCATAAATGTCATATCTAGGAGTGCTCTGGGCTTGAATGTTCGTAAATGTTTCAAATATTTACAACACCTACCACTGTATAAACTTAGTATCTCATATTAGATTTGACTTAATCTGAGTTCCAGATTCTTTTTTCACTTTACCTTTTCTTTCCTGAAGTCTCATAGTTTTAGGTAGTTCTTCTTGTTCTGTTTGTCGACCAGTGGTGAACATATATGACGGGAGTGAAGTACCTATGAACAAAAAGTTTAGAGCAAAATTAGCATTCAGTGTCTTCCTCATGTTAAACTCAAATGTACCTATTCCTTCAACTCTCACAACAGCCAACTTAATATTCCTTTAAATTGAAGGATAGATTGCGGAAAATTGTACATTTGAAATGATGGGAAAAAGGAGCATGTCCACGAGAGCACCAGGCAGTCGTGCTACTGCGATCCCAAAGATTGCAGTAGCCCAAAAATAAAACAGGAAAACTGGTTTCTGTTTTGATTATTTTCAGGGGGAGAGAGCTTGGTTTTCAGATGGGTTGAAGAACCTAAGAACAAGGTTTTCACCGAAGAAATCGCTTCAAAATAGGTAAAATGTATAAAGCTCTCAGTAGGATGGTAATTAACCAATTACTCTAAGAATTTACATACATGTTGTTACATTCTTGGTCAGCGTCTTGTTGACTTTGATTGCCTCAACAATAGATGTAGCACCCGCATCACTAATACCATTATCAGACAAATCCAAATTGGTTAGCGTCTTGTTCACTTTGATTGCCTCAGCAATACATGTAGCACCCGCATCACTAATACCATTCCCACACAAATCCAAATTGGTTAGCGTCTTGTTCACTTTCATTGCCTCAGCAATACATGTAGCACCCGCAGCACTAATACCATTGTATGACAATTCCAAATTGGTTAGCGTCTTGTTCACTTTCATTGCCTCAGCAATACATGTAGCACCCGCAGCACTAATACCATTGTGTGACAATTCCAAATTGGTTAGCGTCTTGTTCACTTTGATTCCCTCAGCAATACATGTAGCACCCGCAGCACTTATATCATTTACAGACAAATCCAAATTGGTTAGCGTCTTGTTCACTTTGATTGCCTCAGCAATACATGTAGTACCCGCAGCACTAATACCATTGTATGACAATTCCAAATTGGTTAGCGTCTTGTTCACTTTGATTCCCTCAGCAATACATGTAGCACCCGCAGCACTTATATCATTTACAGACAAATCCAAATTGGTTAGCGTCTTGTTCACTTTGATTGCCTCAGCAATACATGTAGCACCTGCATCACTAATACGATTCCCAGAAAAATACAAATTGGTTAGCGTCTTGTTCACTTTGATTGCCTCAGCAATACATGTAGCACCCGCATCACTAATACCATTCCCAGAGAAATCCAAATTGGTTAGCGTCTTGTTCACTTTCATTGCCTCAGCAATACATGTAGCACCCGCAGCACTAATACCATTGTATGACAAATCCAAATTGGTTAGCGTCTTGTTCACTTTGATTGCCTCAGCAATACATGTAGCACCCGCACCACTAATACCATTCCTTGACAAATCCAAATTGGTAAGCGTCTTGTTCACTTTGATTGCCTCAGCAATACATGTAGCACCCGCACCACTAATACCATTCCTTGACAAATCCAAATTGGTTAGCGTCTTGTTCACTTTGATTGCCTTAGCAATACATGTAGCACCCGCATCACTAATACCATTGTTTCGCAAATTCAAATTGGTCAGATTCAAACCAGTTCCAAACGAATTCGATAAATGCGAGTGGAAATCACTTTTTTCTCTTTTGCATTCGTTGATGGCCTCCAATACAATATTTGCACCACCGCCTTCATTTTTGTTGACTCCATTTGTTAAACTCTTTACAAAAGCCACAACCTGTTCATCGCATTTTATGGCCAAAATTCCACACGAAAACAAAAGTATTTGTTTAAGTTCAACGAAATACCTTGGATCGGAAACTAGTTCTTCAAGTTTCATTTCCTTGCTTTGAATCTGAGAACAAATGAAGAATGCTGCAAAGAATTCTTGAAAACTTTTATGTAAGAAGGCATAATGCAGTGTTTGTCTCAGTTTGCTGCCACCAGGCTGCACTGACAGAAATCCAAATTCAGTCAGGTCTTTTGCATGGTTTCTCACTTCACTTTCATTAAAATCCAACTTATCGTCAAGTAAACCATTCAACGCTACCTTTCCAAGGTGATTCAATTGCGGTTTGTAATAGTTTGTCAAGTCTTCAATCGTTCCTAGTAGTCCCTTTTTTTTTCTATATCTTCCCAAAACACATTCAACCATATCCAAGTATAGTTGAGCTCTGCTTTCGGGGAGTGTGCCCTCAAACTCTTCGCATAAAAGACAAAGAAGTGCTGTGTTTAGAGGATTGGCCGCTATTTCTCTCAGGTTTTTATCTCGCAACATCCGTTGCGAGAGCTTGGTGGCTAAATCCGTCCTTTCTTTAAAGTACTTGGTGACAAATTCTTTCACATGCTTTTCAGTGAATCCTTCGATCTGAAGCAGCGCGTCACAGCATTTTCTCACCTCTTTTCCACCTTCGTGTCTTGCTGTTGCAACTATGTGGCATCTGGGGAGTACTCTTCCTTCAATTAATTCCGAAAACATCGACAATTTACCGGATGGTAACTCATCCAATCCATCCAATATCAATAAAATGCTGGACTGATTTTCACGAATAAACTGAAAGAATTGTTGTTTGACTTCTTCATCGATGTCTCGGGGCAGCAGCTGATCATCAATGGCTTCCCAAACGTCAGAATGGATATCTCGACATTTCAGCAACAATACCACTTTAAATGCTGTTGAGCCGCAGCCCTGAGGCTCTCTCTGTTTTGTGGCCCAGTCGTAAGCGTACTTTTTACAATAGGTGGTTTTTCCCATACCATGTTCTCCTTCAATCAACACTGTTCTCGGCGCTGAACACTCTTCATACGGGTCTAATATTGATGACATGTCAACAAATACGTCAGTGATTACTCCTCTCGTTTTCTTTCTTCTGACCACTTTGAGCCTTGTAAAAATATTGCCAAGAAAAAACTGAAACTCTTCGCACCATGGAAATGGTGAGAGCCACCCCTCGCGAGTCTTGTAGAGCTTGCGAATTCCATTGATAAGCTCAGTTGGATCAAAAATACCTAGCAGTAGCAAAATGAGTAAGAAATCTAATGAATGCAACGTTGAAAATTGTGGTACCTCTCTGGTATTCGGCACCGAATTTAAATATGCGAATGAATACGATACCGTTGCCAAAGAAATTACTTGGACGATGCAAAAAGGTTTTAGTGTATGATTCATGCCTACTGATTAAAAGCCATGTAGATTATGAATTCAGTTGAATCTACTCTGTTTGTTCGGCTTTAGCGGTGTCTAACAGTGAAACTCTGTCGCAAGGCTTTTTCGGGATATAGCGAGACTACGAACCAACAAATGAAAACCAACCAACGCCTTTCTGCCTTCTTTGTCACGCGGTTCATCAAAATGGTGCAGAAAACTAGAGGCTCGCCTGCGATGAAGTGGGAGGTTTTGCCAACAGTCTTTTCCTCAAGAAATGTAAAATAACCACATACATCTTATTCTAACCTATTTTACTAGAGACGATTCTCATTCAACTATTTTCCTATGTAGAATTGAATACTCCACAATATGAGCACAGAAAGGGTTTAGTTATTTTATTTAGAAATATGCGGATCACATTTATGCTACTAGGTATTCGGCACTGAATTTAAATAAGTGTACGAGTACGACACTATAGGCAAAGAACTTAAATGGACAATGAAAAAAGCTATCACTGTATGATTCATGTTAATTTAATGACCAAAGGCCATTTAGCTTATAAATGCCGTCAAACCTACTCTGTTAATTTCTAACATGGAGCCGAACCCAATGCCAATATTTTCGTTAAAACTGTACTTTAGTTTTATATCGTTCTCCATTCTAATAAAAATATAATGTTTCCGGGCTAATTACTGGTGAAAGTTTAAATTGAAGGGAAATAAAGCACACCACAGAGACTATTCCAGAGATTGTTTAAATTGAAAAACTGAATCTCCTTAAAATAGGATGATCTCCCTCTTACATACAGAACATGTTCACTACGGCTAAATTTGCCGTTAAGCAACTGACCTTCATTCTTGCTTTCTCCCAAAGTACACAGCTTTTCCTTAACTTCTTTAAGTTCCCTGTCCATCTTTGCCATTTCGCTTCTCGTTTTCTCAAGAGACCCTTTCGTGGAATAACATTGAAAATTTTAGTCCGAGTGAGAGTCACTTTATTCATTAAGAGTTAACTAGACCCTTTTCCCTTCCTCTGTGTTTTTTTTTTATTCTATACAACATTCTAAAAAAACCTTTTGGCCCAGCTTCAGCGGTTTCTAATAGTGAAACTCAGGAGATAAATATTGATATCATTGGAGCGGAAAGTCTGAGAAAGATTTTTGTCGGAGAAAGCGACATTGTACGAACTAATTAATAAAAACCAAACAACGCCTTTCCGCCCTCTCATTTCTCCTTATGTCCTCAACAAAAGTAAAACTAGTATAAGAAAATAACCTTCTCGGCTAAATATGTATGAGTGCTGTCAGAAAACTATCCAACACCGAGAGGTAGCCTCACCTCCATACCATCCCATTCATCCCACACATTACCAAGTATCTTCATTTGTAGCCAGAGCAGGTTAAAAGCCAAGGTATGCTCTTACAACTATACATTACCTAAAAATATGTTAAATTGTCTGACATCACGCGAATAATGTGGTCATGCTCAAAAGATGTGTTAATAGAATCCCTGTTGATAGTTCAGTTTATGTGTGAGTAGCTCTTTCTAGTAACCAACCTTCATCTGTGCTTTTTTCCACTGTGGTCGTCAGGCTACTAAGCGTCACTAAAATCTCCTTCATTTTAATCTCTATCTTCTCAGTTGTGTCTCTGAGGTCGTGTCTCATCTTTTCTCGCGAATCTGGAAATGTAAGAAAGATAGGCGCAATTTCATAAGCACATTTACACCACAGATTCACGTTTAGGCGCAGACAAAACAATGGAACGTATATCAATAACTAGTTGATTCCGAATAGATCAAACTCAATAAGACGCTTACAAATTAAAAAAATACACTCCAGCAGTTATAAAAGAGTACCCACGAACAGAAAAAATATTGCCCATGAAAACAATGTGTACATTTGGATTAATTCTTCATTTTTCACACACAACCCTAGAATAACGATCCAAGTATGTGACTGGTTCCGTCCAAAATGAAAACATCATGAGTTACCCAACACCGCGGTGATTCAAAGCTGGAGAAATCTAGAGACCCGCCTGCGATCAAGTGGGAGGTTTTGCCGACAGTCGTTTCCTCAGGAAATGTAAAATAACCACATACATTCTAACCTATTTTACTCAAGACGATCCACATTAAACTATTTTCCCATGTAGAATTGAATACTCCACAATACGCCAGGAGGAAGGATTTGGTTTCATTCGGGAATATGCGGGTCACATCTAACGCTACTAGGAAGTTAGGTTCATTATAAGAAAGGTAATACTAAAAAAGACGATAAACTATCCCGATTACGATGATACATATGTATGAGGGCTGTCAAAACACCATCAAATCCGAGAGGTAGCCAGGGGCAAAATCTCAGATTCCGTGGCATCCCACATATTACATAGAATCTTCATGTAAAGCCAGTGCCAGTAATGACTAGGGTGCTCTTAGACTAGTAAAGTATGCTGTGTTGGCCGACATCAAGCGATTACCGTCGTCATGCATATGAGCTGCGTTATGTACCCAAGAAAACAGTGTCAATCTTAATAATTTCTTTGCTGTGAGTAGCTCTCTCTACCAACTAACCTTGTGCGCTTTTTTCAGCTGAGGCCGTCAGACTACTCAGCTTCTCTTTCACCTCTTTCACTTCGATCTCTATCTTGTCAATTGTGTCTCTCGTGTTATCCAGCGAGTCTGAAAATTTTAAAAGGTATGCACATTTTCATAAGCAAATTTATATCACCTATCTTGCCTACGATCATACATATGTGTGAGTGCTGTCAAAACACCATCATATCCGAGAGGTAGCCAGGGCAGAATATCCCACATTCGGTGGCATCCCACACATTATAGAGTATCTTCATGTATGACCAGTGTGAGTGGTGGCAGGGGGGTACCCTTAGATCAGTAAATTACCAAAGTATGCTGCGTTGGCCGACATCCAGCGATTACCGTCATCATGCACAAGAGCTGCGTCAGGTACTCAAAAAGACAGTGTCGCTCTTCAAAACTTTTGTTTTCAGTGGGTAGCTCTTTCTACCAACTAACCTTCTCGTGTGCTTTTTTCAGCTGAGGCCGTCAGACTGGTAAGCTTTTCTTTCACCTCTTTCATATCAATCTCTATCTTGTCAGTTGTGTCTCTGAAGTTTCTCTCCATAATGCTTCTCATGTTTTCCAGCGAATCTGAAAATTTCAAAAAGTATGTGCATTTTTATAAGCAAATTTATATCACTGCTTCACGTTTAGGTACAGATAAAACAATGATACCTATGTCAATATCTAGTCCATTCCGAGCAGATCAAACTCAATAAGACGCCTAGAAATCACAAAAATGCAGTCCAGCAGTTGTACACGAGTACCCACGAAAAGATCAAAATACTACAAATGAACACACAGTTTCAACATTGGGGTTAATTCTTCATTCTTCACACATGACGCAAAAATACCTTCAAAAAATAAGACTAGTTCCGACCCAAATGAAATTTCATGAGCTAGCCTGTACTGCTGTGTTAACTGAAAATATATACTTTTGTAGCCTTCTGATTCATCCACATTGGCAGTGGACAATGTTTTCCTTACCTTCAATTTCTTCAAGCTTGTCTTTGATGCTGTCGTCGTCTTTCTTCCATTGTTTCATCAGTTCACGATAATGCTCCTCGACATCTGGATCCATGCAGTCGTGCTCAAGATTGTCGATTACAGCTCTAAAACGAGCTCCTCCCAGTCTCACCAAAGCTTCTCTTACTTCCTGCCAGTAAGCACTGAAACTACTGTCATCCACAGAGGCTTGAGAAGCATGGCCGTATACAGTGTTCCTGTAATACTTCACTCTGGCGATGTCATCTGCGATGCTTATGTTTATAACTGGGGGAAGACGATCCCATCCATTGGCAGGAGGGCCCAAACCACAGATATTTCTAAGAAGCACCGTTAGAAGTGTGATATCGAAGGCTGCAGAAGACACGGGTGCGTGAGAAGGGTACAACTTCCCCCATTGCGTGGGATTCAGCACTTTCTTCCTCCCTTTGTACAGTGATTGCAATGTGGCGTAATGCACTGAGGTACTTCCCAAAACTGTATGTAGAGTCGCTGGTGGATGTATTTTGTCAAAAGTGGACCGAAGCACCTGAGATCCAACATCCACCAGGAGGCGGCATAGTCTTGCATAGTTGGTAGTCTCTTTCGTAGACACAAATGGCGAAATAGCCGTAGCCATAACTTTTCCAGGATGACCTGTCAAACAGAGAATTGACATTAAGTAATGTTAATCAAACCCATTCGAAAAAAAAATTCCCGATAGCCAATTGAGATCGAGAATGATTTCAAATCGTGATGTCATTTTCTAAATCCTTTTGAGCAAGGAACACTAAAAAAAAACCTAATAAGAGATTTAATCTGAGATTTTTCATTTCAACCCAGTTTTTAGATTAACAAAGAGTTTTGTTTTTCAGTTTACAAAGTAACAACCAGAGACATAAACGGCAGAAATGAAACGCGATTTGAAAGGTTAAAGGGAAATAAGTTTTTATTTCCTCTGTGGGGCCTTAAACCCGGTCAGTTTTGGCTGGTTGACATTTGATTCTTAATCAGCATCATCATCATCATCATCATCATCATCATTTTATGTGGTAATGCAGGTTACAAATTGGCAGCCAGGAAGGCTGATGTGGACCTACAAATCACTAAAATAATTAAATGATATATACTATACTGCTAAAATAAAAAACTAATCTAAAAAGAGAAACAATGTTAAAATTTAAGAGATTACTAATAAAATACCCTATTTCCCCTAAGAAGTATCTAATAATAAAAGCAATCATTGCCAGAGTAACTATTATACCTAAACCTTAAAACCTCCACAGCTCCAAAACGATCCACAAGCAGACACAAATATATAAACTACAGTGAAACACCAAAGCAAGACTGCACAACCTCCATTTACCACCCGGCAAAGATCACTGCTACAACTTGGTCACTTGAAGCATAATTGCAAAAGCATCATCCATCACCATCCCAACAAGGACAAAAACTACGTAATCACAAGCAAACTACATATTTAATCACAAGCAAACTACACTGTGCTAGGAAAATTGTCATCAATATGGGAATCGGTCTGTTACCAGCTCAGTTAATAGACCAATAGACCGTGACTACACCAGGAAATACCAACACAACAAATACGGAAATTATATCACTTCAGGTCACCGTGCTTACAACAATCACTAAAGAGCAGCCTACAGCAAGAAGGCACTATCTAGAAAGACTAGTTATGGGTCAACTTGCCAAAACTCATGTTACACACCCTAACTATCCCAATTTTCATGGGATTAGGCAATACCGGGTATTAATCATTCCTTTCAGTGCAAAACTAAATGTAATTCCTCACAGTTATATCACCCAACATGACACCAGGTCTCCCTCCCAGCACCCACATTCCTGGATGGAGGAGCAGCTTCAAAGGAATTTGTAGATTTCCTCCTCAGTCGCTATTTCATTATCGCATCTGGGGACATTAAAAGCATTTCTAAAACTCCGTCAATTCATGGTTTCTTTACTTATTGATGATTATAGATTATTAGATGATTATAGATGATAAACAGATTGAACAGTCACTGATATTAAATGCACCTTTTTAAGCCATGTACTAACTCTACTGGATGAAGGTAACTCTAATTGTCACCAATACAATACAGGGTCATTGAAGCTCATGTACCAGTACAAAACGTGGTTTTTTAGTTCATTGAACTGTGAAACAATAACCTCTAAGTCA